GGCACTTCATCCTTTCTAACCAAAGGGCTGGAAGGCCTTCTTGACTTCTTCCTCACCTGTTGTTCCAAACATCTGTTAAATCACAGCTTTTTCCAATTTTACTTACCAAATAACAGTCTCTCTAGTGGGGCCAGCAGGTGATGTGGTGGTTAAGGGTGCTGTGCTCCCACATGTCTGACCGTATTTGGAGTCCCAGACCTGCCAGCTTGATTAACCAAAACCACCCCCCTTCTCTCTCTGGTCAAGTTTGTATGTATGTATCAATGAATGAATGAATGAAAAAAATATATATATATACATATATATATATATATATATATATATAAATAATTTTTTTTAAAGACCTCACTCTCCAGTCAGTTTGGTTTTTTTGAGTTCAAATAGTGTGAATTTGGATAATGAAAGAAACCATGTTATGTGAATATTTAATATATAAGTTTTAGTACAAGGAAGGATAAGAGAGGGTTCATGAGAAAATAGTGTTATTTTATTTTTTTAGAGGTTTTTTGCTGTAGGGCACATGCACTTGCCAAAAAGAGACAGAGAGACATAAAACAAGAAATCACCCCCAAGGGGGGGATGGCCACGCTCCAATCCCTTCTCCATTCTCCTCTTGGGATCTTGGGCGTTCCCGCACACGCCTTGAGTTTAAGCTACCGGGTCTGGGGCTCGAACTGTGGTTGATTACATGGGAGTCCAGCGACATAGCCATTACACCATCTGCTGGTTCCATGAGAAAATAATTTGAACTGTTTTGTTCCTGGCTTGGGTATGGAAGGTACTGACCTACCTCTCTTTTTTAGTCCATGTTTTTTTGTTGTTGTTTATTTCTCCTTTTGAGATAAATATTTCTTACTGGTAAATGCAATGTATATTATGTTTTCACTTTTGAAAAACTTAAACACTGTTGTTATCTGTTGTCCAAATCCCTGTGAAGATATTTAATATTGTCAAACTCAGAGTATTCCTCCAGCCCTTCCCAATCAAGCTCTGACTCCATGCTCCTAAAGGCAATCAGTCTTTTCCACCATAGGTTAGTTTTGCCTGCATTAGACTTTCATGTATTTGGAATCATATGGTATGTATTCTTGTTAAAATTTATTTTATTGAGCTTTTTTTTTTTTTTTTTTTTTTTTACATACTTTTACTGGACATAACCACAGCATACAAACTGTGATTTTTTTTTTTCCAGCCAGAATACACTGTAGAGTGGCTTAAACATACATTATTGTCAACAAATAATTTTCCATTTATTTCTTCTGTGTGTGTATATGTTTCTTGTAATATATTTATATATTCCCCCCTATTTCTCACCCTCTGCCATTTCCCATCCTCCTCCCACCCTGTCTCTGGTATCTGCAGTTGCTTTCCATTCCTTTATTCTTTCACACATTGTATTGGTTCACAAAATATCTTAATTAATCTAAATACTTTCAATAGTAAGTTCAGCTGATATATACATATCAGTGAACAAAAGTTAATATTGAGCATGTTTTTTAAGTGTGTGTATTTTTGAAGCTTGTCTATGTCCCAATCCTGCCTCAGTCCTCTGAAATGGCTTATAGGTGCATCACCACTGTGCCCAGCCTACACGTTTTTGAGAGATTTGTTCACATTGTGGTGTGTACCAATAATTTTTTTTAAGAATTATTTTTTTTGGGGAACCAGCAGTTAGCGTAATGGCTATGTCGCTGGACTCCCACGTAGTCGACCGCGGTTCGCGTCTCGGACCCGGTGGCTTAAATCTCACGCCGGGCGCGTGTGCGTGCGTGCCCAAGATCCTGAGAGGAGAATGGAGAAGAAGGGATTGCGGCGTGACCATCCCCCCTGGGGGGTGATTTCTCGCTTTCTGTCTCTATGTCTCTCTGTCTGTCTGGCGAGCGCACGCGCCCTATAGCGAAAACCTCTCCAAAAAAAAAAAAGAATTATTTTTTTTTATTTAACTTTATTATTTTCCATTTTTAACCAGAGAGAGATGGAGAGAGAGAGAGAAAGAGAGAGAGAGGGAAAGGGAGAGAGCAAGCCACCATGTCCAGGACTCAAACTGTGGTCAGCCATGTGGGAGTCCAGTGCCTTTAACCACCATGCCACCCACTGGTCCCTGTACCAATAATTTAATACCATTATATGGCTGGATATTGTCCTTTGTGTGTTGAAAAGTTGTTTCATACTTAATTTAAATCTACTTTGAACACTTGTGCAAGTTTTTTTTGTAGATATAGCTTTCAGGTCTCTTGGGTAAATACTTAGGAGTGGAGTTGCTGGGTCATGCATAGGTGTATACTTAATTTCATATGAAACTGCCCAACCATTTTCTGAAGTGGTTGTAACATTTTTACACTACCAACAATATATTAGAATTGTGTTCCCCTATATCCTTGCTAATGTTTGCTGTTGTCAGATCTTTTTAATTTAAGCCAATTTAATAGGGATTTAGTAGTATCATTTTAGTTTTTTTTTTTTTTAAGTAAGATGCACATATATTTATTTAGTTTGTTATAAAGCACATGTACTTGATAGTGATAAGGAGAGGGAAAGTGAAAAATCACCCTGGAGGGGTGGAGTAACCACTCTGTAGTCTGCTCTTCAGTCTCCTCATGGGACTTTGGGCACATAGACGTAAGCACCCAGTGTGTTTGGACCTAACCAAACAGTTGGCCATATGGGATCCAGCCACTTTAACCCCGTGCCACCTGGCTGGCTTGGGGTTTTAATTTGAATTTTTCTTATGACAGTCAGCAGTTCTTCACCTTATTAGCTATTTCTGTGTGTTTTGTGAAATGCCTGTTTGAATCTTCTGCTTATTTTGTGTTCTTGTTTATTATCAGTTTTTAGGAATTCCTTAAATATCTTGGATGTTAGTCTTTAGTCATGTTTTCTCCCAGTTTGTGATTTTCTTGTTTACCTTAATCATGTCTCTCTTCAAAAGTTTTATGTATTCTTTTTATGAGTGAGAGACAGTACCCCCAACAGGATCCAGACGCCACCTAGCAATCTTTATTTAGCAAGCCCCAGATCATGGGTATATATGAGCCCATCATATTCAGAGAGGTTTCTGGATTTGAACTGGGAACCTTCTCATTTGGGATTACCTTGAAAAGCATTGTGTTTTGGGGACCGACCCTGGGTCAAGTCCTGGACCAAGCAACTTAAAAGAACTCAAGCTGGGCGTGTGTGTGTGTGCGCCCAAGATCTTGAGTGAAGAATGGAGAAGGGATTGCAGCATGGCCATCCCGCCCTGGGAGGAGATGTCTTACATTCTGTCTCTTGTTTGTCTGGTGAGTGCATGCGCCTTATAGTAAAAATCTCTATTAAAAAAGAATGAAAAGCATTGTGTTTTGAACCACTGGTGGAACCAGGGGTTAAGGTAATTAGATTCCACATGGCTGACTGTGTTTTGATTCTGGACCAGTGCCTTGAAAAACACACTAGGCGGGTGTATGTGTATCCTGAAGGAGTGGAGAAGGGATTGTAGCACAGCCATCCCTCTTAGGGGTTGCTTTCTTACACTACTACCCCTTACCACCAACACTTACGCTCTGTAGTAAATTTTTTAAAAAGGAAAAGAAAGAGGCTGGCAGGTTGGTGTGGTTAAGGGTGCTGGATTCCCACATGGCCAGCGTAGATTCGAGTTCCGGACCTAGCAGCTTACTTTCTCCCTTTCTCTGGTCAAATTAAAATAATAAATAAAGCAAAATAAAAATAATTATTTAAAAAAATAGGAAAAGAAAAGCATTATGTTTTACCTCTGTGCTACCTTCTGGCTCCACTAATTGTGCTTCTTAATGATCAGGGTTTTTTTTTTTTTAATTTATTATTATTATTATTTTTTGCTATAGGGCGCGTGCGCTCGCCAGACAGACAGAGAGAGACAGAGAGATAGAAAGCGAGAAATCACCCTCTGGGGGGATGGCCACACCGCAGTCCCCTCTCCTCCATTCTCCTCTCGGGATCTTGGGCACACACGCACACGCGCCCGGCATGAGTTTTAAGCCACTGGGTCCAGGACATGAACAGCGGTCAACTACGTGGGAGTCCAGTGACATAGCCATTACACTAACTGCTGGTCCCATGATCAGATGTTTATTTTGAGGGAATCTTAATTTATTAAATTTTTTGCCTTCTATGTACATAGAAACATTTGTCTGTCTTCAAGCCATGAGAGTATTGTAACTTTGATGTTAAAGACTGATCTAAATTGAATTAATTTGGATAAGTGGTATGAGTTAGGGGTGGGTTTTTTGTTTTTGTCTTTCCGTTTGTGTGGGATTTATTTTTTACAGTATGGATTTCCAGGTAGTCTAGCATTGTTTGTTGAACAGCCTGAGCCTATTAGACCACTTTACCCATTGGACCACTTTGGCACCTCTGGAGAAAATTGACCATAGGGCCCAACCCATAGCCTTGTGGTTAGGGTGACTGGGTCCCACATGACTGACTGCACAGATTGAGCCTGAGCCCTGGTGGCTTGAGTAACAGGCCAGGCCTTTATGCATGTATATCCAAAATCCTGAAAGGAAGGAAAAATGGAGGAGAAAGGATTGTGGCATAACTGTGCCCCATGGTTCTTACTCATCCCCCCCCCCCCCCCCCCCACCTCTCGTGCATGCACACATGCACCCTCTGGCAAATTTAAAAAAAGAAGAAAGAAAAATATCAATAATATAAATGTGAGTCTATTTCTGGGCTTTCCATTCTATTCTACTGATTTGTTGTTCCTTTTACGTTTATTTCCTTGGGAGACGCTGACCAGGTGCACCTAGTGTGTTCAGGTTCATACAGGATCAAACCCAGCATCTCCCATATGGCTCAGCATTGTGCAGCAGAGCCCTACCCCCTGCACTAATGCAGCTAGACTTAAATTCAGTTTGAATATCTGCCCTAGATTCTCTTTTAAATGTAAGTATGGAGCCAACTCCATTGCTCAAGAGAAACTGGATCCCATGTGGCAACTGCAGTTTGAATCCCTGACCCTCTTGGCCTGAATGAAACATGCCAGGCACAAACACAAATGCTCAAGATCCAATATGCAAAAGGATTGGAAGAAGGGGATAGAGATGACAAGACCCTGTGAAGGGCTTTCCCCTCTGTATCTCACTCTGAGATGTGCACATGCTCTATCATGAAGAAAGAAGAAAAATGAATATGCCATAGGGCATGTGCATTTGCCAGAGAGAGACAGAGGGACAGTGTGAAATCACCCCCTGCGGGGATTGTCACTCAGCAGTCTCTCCTCCATTTTCCTCTTGGGATTTTGGGTATGCATGCACCTGTTTCTGGCTGGGTCCAGGCTCAGACTGCATAGTTGGCGGTATAGAATCCAGCTGCCTTAAACTTCATGCTGCCCTGGTCCTGTTTAGTTTTGTTTTTACCAGGTAGTGGACACATGTGCTGGCCAGAGAGGGAAAGAAAGCAACCCCCAATGAGGTGTGGTTATGACACAATCCTTTTTCTTCCATTTCTCCATACTGTCCAGGTATTAGTTGCATACACACGTACACAAAACACCTACCTGGTGTTTTTCTCAAGCCTCTAGGGCTGGGATTCAAACCTTGGTTGGCAATGTGGGATCCAGCTCCTGTTACCACTGGACTGCAGGACAACCCAAAATAGTGGTATTTTAAGGCTGGCATATCTTTTTTTGGAATTTGGTAGAGGGCATTTGTACTGGGAAGAGAGAGACATAGGGGGGAGAGAAGGAAAAACAAGAAAGCATTTCCCCTTGGGGCATGATTATGCCACAATTCTTCCTCTGTTTATCCCTCCTTTGGGGATTTTGGACACACACACACACACACACACACACACACGTACACACATGCCAGGCCTGCTTCTCAAGCCACGGGACCTGTGACTTGAACCATGAGGTTAGCCATGTGGGATCCAGTTGCCTTAACCACAGGCTGGTCCTGGCTTGTCTTTAATGGTTGAAACATTTTAACCAAAATTATTTAGTGCCTGTTACAACCCAGGATTAAATATAAAAAGGCTCAAACTGTTGAAGGTCCTTACCATCAACAAAAAGTCTAGTGGTAGTGAAGAATAATAAGTATGGCTAATCCTATACATACCAAATGTGATTGATAGTATAATAGGGTCTGCATGGTATATCTATAGGGTTAAGATTTTTTTGGGGTGGAGAGAGGTTTTTGCTACAGGGCGTGCGTGCTTGCCAGAGAGATAGAAAGCGAGAAATCACCCCCCAGGGGGGATGGCTATGCTGCAATTCTTTCTCCTCCATTCTCCTCTTGGGATCTTGGACATGCACACACGCACACGTGCCCTTCATGAGTTTAAGCCACTGGGTCCAGGACTCGAACCACAGTCAACTACATGGGAGTTCAACAACATAGCCATTACACTAACTGCTGGTCCTTAGTTAAGAATTTTGAATGTGAACTGCTTATTAGGTAATATTGTGGGATTGTTTTATTTTCTTTAGTGCAATCATTGTGTTGTGGTTATGCAGGAAAGTATTTCTAGAAAATACTTGCTGGGAACCAGCAGGCAGCACAGTAATTAAATAAGCTGCTGGTCTCCAATTTTGCCATCCATGGTTCCCAGACCTGGCCACTTGCTTGAGTGCACCCTCATGCTCGTGTGCACGCTCTCTCTCTCTCATCTCTGGAGAGCACACATGCCCTATACCAAACTGAAAGGGTAATAATAATAAATAAAATAAGTAAATAAAAGAAAGTACACTCTGAAGGCTAGCCTGGTGGCATGGTAGATAACAGCAGCTGGATCCTACATGGTCAACTGAGTAGTTTGAGTCCTAGGCCTGGTGGCTTGAAAAATACACTAGGGGTGTGCGCGTGCATTCTCAAAAATCCCAAGAGGAGAGTGCAGAAGTAGTTGTGGCATGGTCATCCTGCTTGGGGAGGTGCTGTCTCACTTTCTCTCTCTGTCTCTGGCAAGCGCACATGCCCTGTAGAAAACAAATACAGAAATAGTATTGTCTATTGCTGGTAGGGCCTGTGTGTGGCTCCTGGTGCTTGTTATTAACCAAAATGACGAACACAAAGATGTTCTCTAGGCCTTTTAGAAAACATGGAGTGTTTCTACTGGCAACCTATATGTGAATCTACAAGAAAGGTGATATTGTAGATATCAAGGGAATGGGTACTGTTGAAGAAAAAATGCCCCACAGATGTTACCATGGTAAAACTGGAAGAGTCTACAATGTTACCCAGTATGTTGTTGGTATTATTGTAAACAAACAAGGGCAAGATTCTTGCCTAGAGAATTAATGTACCTATTGAGAATATCAAGCATTCTAAGAGGAGAGATAGCTTCCTAAAACATGTGAAGGAAAATGACTAGAAAAAGAAAGAAGCCAGAGAGAGGCACCTGGGTTCGACTGAAGCACCACCTGCTCCATCCAGAGAAGCACACTTTGTGAGAACCAGTGGAAAGGAGCCTGAGCTACTAGAAACTATTCCCTATGAATTCATGGCATGATAGGTATTAAAAATAAACTAATCTATGGTCTATATTTTTTTAAAGGAAATAGTATTGTCTATTTACATAATATACTAAAACAATTTGAATTAGACTGAACAATGGCCTAATGATGTCTGCATTTCTTTTTTTTTTTATTTTTTATTTTTTTGGAGAGATTTTCACTGTAGGGCGCGTGTGCTCGCCAGACAGACAGAGAGAGACATAGAGACAGAAAGCGAGAAATCACCCCCCAGGGGGGATGGTCACGCCGCAATCCCTTCTCCTCCATTTTCCTCTCGGGATCTTGGGCACGCACGCACATGCACCCGGCGTGAGTTTTAAGCCACCAGGTCCGGGACACGAACCGCGGTCGACTATGTGGGAGTCCAGCGACATAGCCATTATGCTAACTGCTGGTTCCCTGCATTTCAGTTTAGGCCGTGTAATGGTTTTAGAGAATCAGAAATGTCCAAAGGATAGTTTATGTATTATAAATATGTCCTTTCATAAATGTTCAGAGTATAATTCAGGGAAAGCTGAAATTGTTCATGTAGATATAGAGCACAAGGACCACCAGGTGGTGTGGTGGTTAAGGCACTGGACACTCTCATATGGCCAACCACAGTTTGAGTCCTGGACCTAGTGGCTTGCTTTCTCACTTTCTCACTTTCTCTCTTTGTGTCAAAGTAAATGAACGATGAAATAAAATTAAATTTCTTTTATAAAGAATTAATGTAGAGGACAGCTAGCAGATTTTTAACATCTAGAAACTTCACTCTTTCAACTTAATAAAATTGGTTTTAAAGTGTTAAAGGTGAAAATTCATGGTTTCGTTCTTACTGTCTTTATAGATTTTTGATGAAATTGAGTCATGAAACTGTCACCATTGAATTGAAGAATGGAACACAGGTCCATGGAACAATCACTGGTATGGAGGTTGATTGCTTTTATAATGGTTCTGTTTTCATCTCATCCACCTGCAAACCGGAATTCTTTTTTGATTGTTTAATGAACATCAGTATAATACAAGTCATTATTTTTGTCTGAACTATTTAATCTACCTTCTTACTTCCCCTGAAGTAAGTAAACTTACGCTTTAACCATACTGAATTCCCCATGTTATACTGGTTTCTTGCTTTTACTTACGCCTTTACGTGGGTGTATTCTTCCTGCCTGGAGTGTTTCTTCTGAAAAACATTTGAAACTTGTTATTTGTATTAGTGTTTGTGTTCACTATTTGATTAAAAAGTCCTTGATGGGGAACCAGCAGTTAGCATAATGGCTATGTCGCTGGACTCCCACGTAGTCAGCTGCGGTTTGCATCCCGGACCCGGTGGCTTAAATCTCCCGCCAGGCGCATGTACGTGCGTGCCCAAGATCCCGAGAGGAGAATGGAGGAGAAGGGATTGCGGCGTGGCCATCCCCCCTGGGGGGTGATTTCTCGCTTTCTGTCTCTATGTCTCTGTCTGTCTGTCCAGTGCATGCACCCTATAGCGAAAAACCTCTCCCAAAAAAAAAAAAAAGTCCTTGATGATGGAGGGTGGTATTTCTGTGTCTGGTTATCTTGAGTGGAAAATATGCAGGAAAAGGAGTAGATAGGAACTGTGATTTTCCTTCACTAAGGCAGTCATTGTTAGCATAACATATTGGATATTTTCTTACGTGTCTAACTCTTTGCTTTAATGTTGTTGTATGGGGCTGGCAGGTAGTGTGGTGGTTAAAGGCCTGGACTCCTACATGGCCAACTGCCGTTTTAAGTCCTGGACCTGGTGGCTTACACTCGCTTGCTCGCTCACTCACTCACTATCTCTCTGTGGTCAAATTTAAAGAAACAAACGAACAAATAAATAAATGGATAAATAAAGTTAAATAAAATCACTCATTAAAAAAAAAAGATAACAGTGTGTACATTTATATTTAAAGTCAGCTGATTCTTCACTCACAGTAGGTATTCCAGAAATTGCAAAGTTCCAGAAGAATTGAGTCAAATTAAAGAAAATGCTATCTAGCCTATGTTTCCACTCTGTTGGTCTCTGAAATCTTTAAATTATATAAGTTTGTAAATAGCTGGTGGAGGTGGTTAGACAGGGTCTCACTGTGTTGATCCTCCTGCTGTGGCCTCTGGAGTAGCTGGGATCACAGTTTATGCCACCACACCTAGCTCTTCCACATGGGATCTCATTCTGTTTCCCACATTGTCCTCGAGCTCAAACTTCACTTACCTTGGCCTCCTGAGCAGCTGGGATTATAGTATCATGCCACTGTGCCCTGCTTTTTAGGACAGGCTTCCCATGTGGTCTCAGCCTGCTTAGTAGCAATGTTCAGTGCATGCTACTATAGTTGCCAAATAACTTTTAACATACAGAACCAGCATCTATGTCAACCAACACAAATGTGAACTGTTAAACCTCTATTATTTGTGGGTACAATAGAATTTCACAATGCTAATTGCTGTGGAAAGAATTAACCGTGTAAGGTTGTGATAAAGTCTATGACCCTATCTAAGGCAGTATAATTGCTGCCTTGTGAAAATTCCATAATCAGTGAAGTAGCCTGCTCTCTCCAGAGCATTGTGTTTTGTGGAGCTGCCAGAGTATTGTTCTTGCCTTTTAGGAACACAGAGTTAAGTGATAAAAGATACAAACACATTGCTGGCCCAGTAAAACAGGTTGATGGAAAGGGGAGGTGAAAAGAAGTTACAGAGACAAAGAAAACCGTGCACAAAAACACCTGCCAAACCTGAGAGAGAAGGAAGACACGGGACAGTGGACATAATGCATGTATGAGACAGTTCCTCCATGGCTAACTGCATTCCCTTCTGTCAGCAGCCTTTTGTTTAAGAACTATTTTATTTTAATTAATTAATTAATTAATTTGACCAGAGAGGGACAGAGTGCGGGGGTAGGGGGGTGAGAAAGTAAGCTGCCAGGTCTGGGACTTGAGCCCCTTTTCCTGCATAATAGTCACCCAAGATAATCAGACATGGAAACATCATCCTTCATCATCAAGGACTTTTACTCAAAGTGAACAGAAGCACTAATGCAAGTAAAAAGTTTAAAATGTTTTTCAGAAGCAGTGCTCCAGGCAGAAAGAACACACCCAAGTAAAGGCATAAATAAAAGCAAGAAACCAGGATAATATGGAGAATTCAATATAGTTGAAGCATGAGTATGGGAATTCTGCGCCCTTAACCATCACACCACCTGCCAGCCCCTCTGTCAGCCTTCTTAACTATGCAGAACAGCTGGGTTGAGAAAAATCTCTGTGAAGGAAAGAAAACTGCTGATTTATATCAGTGTTCTCCCATTTACTGGTTGCAAGCATGCTGCGTTGTGTTAAACTTATACTGCGGCAGAATGGACAATACAGCTTGCATATCCTTTATCTGAAACAGTGGGGACCAGAAGTGTTTAGATTTTTAAATAATTGCATATACGTAATTAGGTATTTGGTATTGGGACCGAAGTCTGGACACAAAATTTATTTATTTATTTATTTCATTTTGCTATAGGGCACGTAGGCACGCCAGAAAGACAGAGAGACAGAAAGCGAGAAATCACCCCCCAGGGGGGCGGCCACCTCGCCATCCCTTCTCCCCCAGTCTCCTCTTGGGATCTTGGGCACACGTGCCCACTGTGTTTAAACCACCTGGTCCAGGATTCGGACCCCGGTCGACTACATGGGAGTCCAGCGACATAGCCATTACACTAACTGCTGGTCCCCAAAATTCATTTATGTTTCATATACACCGTATACATATAGACTGAAGGTAATTTTACACAATATTTTTGTATCCCAGGGTTTTGCTTACAACCTCACATAAGTTCAGGTGGGGAAATTTTCACTTACTGCATCATGTTGATAATAAAAAGTTATATTATAGTTTGTATTTTAGGATTAGGGATGCCTAGCCTCTTATACAGTATTTACTGTAGCTTCCTAAATTGGTTGCCTTTCTCATTCCAGTAATTGTTCTATATTTTTTACTTTTTAGGTGTAGATGTCAGCATGAATACACATCTTAAAGCTGTAAAAATGACCCTGAAGAACAGAGAACCCGTACAGCTGGAAACACTGAGTATTCGAGGGAATAACATTCGATATTTTATTCTGCCAGACAGCTTACCTCTAGATACACTACTTGTGGATGTTGAACCAAAGGTGAAATCTAAGAAAAGGGAAGCTGGTAAGTTTAAGGATTATAAATGTTTCTGTGAATGGTGTGTTTATACCTTAATCTATTAGAATATATAAACACTTGTGAACAACCAGGGTGTTTTGTTGTTGTTGTTGTTGTTAAGAGATTTTTGCCATAAGGCTTGTGTGCTCACTGGAGAGACAGACAGCAAGCAAGACATCACCTCCCAAGGGGGATGGCCACACCACAGTCCCTTCTCCCCCCATTCTCCTCTCGGTATTTTGGGCATGAGTGAGCTTTAAGCCACCAGGTCTGGGACTTGAATCATGGTCGACTACATTGGAGTCCAGCGATATGTGACGACCATTATGCTATCTGCTGGTCCCAATACAAGTTTTTTGTCATTTAAAATTTCTTGTACTTGCCGTGAGTGCTTAAAGCTCCTGGTGTTACTGTTGAGAAGATTGTTGCTCTTGTTCAAAGGATTATTTCCTGTCCCTTTGTACATGGACTAGCCCTTCACCTTTTTCACTTTTGAGATTTGGAGATTGACTCTTTCTATTGTTCTGAAGTATCTTAATGACATCATAGGGCCCCTTTTTCCCTCTCTTACCAACCTTCATCTTACTGTTCTGGGTACTTTGTGGACATGTGGGTATTTTTCCATTTTACAGCTAAGGAATTTACTAGTATAACTTACACAATTTTTTTCCCCTTATTTTGCTTGCTGTGTTCTTTCTTCCCAGAATTCTTAATGATCAAGCCTTCTGATCGATTCTGTAATTTTTATCTTCTCTCTCTTTTCTGTCTTTGCATTTTGTTTTCTCTTCTGAGGAATTTCCTTGAACTTAACTTCCAGTCTAGTACATACTTAGTTTCAAGCTTCCTGGTCCTCTAATAATTTTTCATAGAATCTTGTTCTTTTGTGATGTTTAGTGTGTATGTGTGTGTGCGCGCGCACACATAAATACATGTAATCAGTTATTTAATTAGGTTCTTGGCAAAAGATTTAGAACACCAATTTGTGAGGATAAACTCCATTTGTAAGGGCAAACACAGATTGCAGGTAACCCTGGAACTGAGGAACAGCTTTGATTTTTGGTAAAATTTGCAAGTCCACAGCTTTCTGATCGACCTTGCGCTGCTCAGAAATCTCGTATTTCTCCTTCTCTGTGTTGAAGATCTCACCTTCCTGGTGTCTGGGCTTCTGCAGTTTCTTGTTCTTTTCTCCCCCCCCCTTTTATTTATTTATTTATTTATTTATTTATTTATTTATTTATTT